GGCCTGGAGTGTGGAGGAGAGTGAGGTGTCAGGAGAAATGGTGAAAGGAAGATAAGGCCTGGGGGGCCCGGGGTGTGTTTGAAAGGGCGCTGGAGGGCAAATGGAAGGTAAGGCTAGGCAGGTAGGCTGGGCTCAGGTTATGAAGGACGTGAAAGGCATGCAAGTGACTCTGAGCGTCTCTCTCCCTCTGTCTCTCTATCTGTTTCTCTCTCTCTCTCTCTCTCTCTCTCTCTCTCTCTCTCTCTCTCTCTCTCTCTCTCCCTTTCTCCCTCTGTCTCTCAAATAACAGAGGGCTCTTGGCAGATTGGAAACACAGAGGCAACTTGGTCATGTCTGCCTTAGAAGGATGTNCTGGAGGGCAAATGGAAGGTAAGGCTAGGCAGGTAGGCTGGGCTCAGGTTATGAAGGACGTGAAAGGCATGCAAGTGACTCTGAGCGTCTCTCTCTCTCTCTCTCTCTCTCTCTCTCTCTCTCTCTCTCTCTTCCTCCCTCACTCCCTCCCTTCCTCCCTCCCTCCCTCTCCCTTTCTCCCTCTGTCTCTCAAATAACAGAGGGCTCTTGGCAGATTGGAAACACAGAGGCAACTTGGTCATGTCTGCCTTAGAAGGATGTCTCAGGCAGGAGAATAGAGGAAGAAACAGAAATAGAAAAACCAAAAAGGAGGAAAGCCATTCAGGAGGTTGTTAACAATGGTCATCACTCCCCCTCCCCATAACAAAAAAATGCCTGAAGTAAAAACTAGAGCGTTTTGAAGAGCAGAAAATGAAAAGCAGAGAACTGGCTGGCACAGTGTACTGTTCATTGGTGTTGAGTGAGGCGGAGGGAAGAATGGAGATGGTTGTAGGGACTAGCCTGTGTGGCTTGGTAAGTGGTGTGCTTCTACTGTGAATGCAGAGTGCACAACATCGCTAATTTAAGTGTGTTGAAACTTTGAGGGAAAAGGAAAGAGGCCCTCAATGCTTAAAGTACGAATATGTATGCTTGTCAACTTGAGAGAAGTTTTGAGCCTCCTAGACTGTCTGATAGATTCACAGTTTCCAAGCAGTGTTACATTTCTTTTGTATGAAAATAATTGAGCAAACTTGTGATAATATCTGAGAGTATCCCTGTCCCAGCAGAAGAAAACATCATTCCCACCTAACTCAAAACCTGTCCTGTCTATGGTTGCATCATCTTTTGGAGTGGGGAGTTTGTGCAGGGAGTTGACAAAGTGGCCCATCCTCCCTGAGAGGAAATCCTACCAGAATCAGCGGTTGGATCAAATGAGGCACCATTGTCCATGTTCCCCTGTCACCTTGCTGTGCTGTCAGATGTCTGCCATCTGCACGTTCCCTGTGAACCAGGATCTGTAACCCACGATCTCATCTTTGATGAGAAATTTTGTCCATTGTGTGGATGTTTAAATTTAACTCCCCAAACTCAGAGATTAAATATCACTGTGCAAAAAGATTCCATTAATCATTGCAAAGATTGTGTCGCAGAAGGCAATCACAAAATCTTCTGGAGGTTCTTGGGCCTTTATCTGCCATCATCATCCTTTTTTCCAGCCAAATGCAGACATTTATCTTCCTGTGGCCAGACTAGAATGATTCCCTGGTACCCAAAAATTCATCAGATAAATAGCTCATGGATAAATATATCCTTACATGAGATTTATTTCCACCCCCAATATTTGCCATCTCCAGCTAAGCTTTCCTTTGGAAAGGTGATGGGGTGGGGAGGAAATGTAAGGAAGCATTTTGGATTTTTAAGACTTGGTTTTGATCCTCTCTTAAATTTGGGCAAGTCTCTTAATTTTTCAGAGCTTCATTTTGTTAATTTATAAATTGTGATGATAATAATAATAGTAATATTTCTGCCTAAACCCTCTTGTGGTAGTTGGATCAACTGTAATAACATATGGGAAGACAGTTTATAATTGCAAAGCACTGTATAAATGTCATGCATCACAATTATTCAATGACGGTACAAATTTTAGTCTTGAAAGGCAAATGTCTATCTTTTTCTATTCTTTATGACTTTCATGCATATCCACTTGTCATTGACTTAAAATATTATTGAGTGCCTATTTCATGATAGCTTTGTGCTAGAAACAGGGTTGACAGTGAATATGGCAGAAAATTTATGTCAGTTTCAAGATTAAAAAGACTCTGAGGTGAGAATATAGCATTTACATCTCTTTAGAAAATAAGCATAGCATATCGTGGAATGTGTTACAAGGAATGGTGTGTGGTAGCGATTTCCAAGGCTGGCTGGACTATAGATGTACCCTGGGAGCCCACAGAAAGTACACGTTCCTATTGAATTAAAATATGTGCGGATAGACTCAGCAATTCCTTTTATTTGGTTTTCTTTTTTGGCAAGCTCCCTTGGAGGATTCTCAGACAGCCTGCTAAGTCAGTTTCTTACTGGAACCAGTCATAGGTGACATAGACGTAGGAGTACTAGGGAGAGAGGGCTCAGTGAGGATCCAAGTGGCTGGAGAGGGTCGGGGTTGTTTCCCTGGGTGAGGTGGGCCTCAGCTGGAGGGGATAATAAGAAAGGCTTGCACCCAAGACCCTTTCCACTGCCTTGATCTGGTTAACCCTTATTGCTCCTTCAGGATTCAGCACCCATGCCACCTTTTCTAGAACAGGTTTTCTGACTCCAGTGGAAAATTCAGAGAGCTTTCTTGATATGAATGTTTTGTTGCATGAGAAACCAACTGTTTGTGAACCAGAGACTTAAAACACAAAACTATTATGAAGCTCAGAGACACGATGTTACAGATGGCTTCTAAACGGAGAGCGAGGAAGTTGCTTAACCTTTATGATGATTCGTTATTACAATGGGGACAGCAGGGGATTGGTTAAAGTGATTATCTTATATTATTTTAGGAAGATGGCTTAAGTTTTGATTATGATTATCAGATGTATTTACAAGAAATAGCCTAAATTAAGTTTCACTTACATTCATGAAATATAAAACTAAATTAAGCTTTACCTATGTGACTTATATGGCTTTGTCTGAGGTGGAAGCAAATATGGGGGAAGACACAGTAAGGTGTTAAAGGAAGGAAGGGAAGAAAGGAAAATGGGGTATTGTCACTAGGGAGATCCACGGCCTTCTCTGCAGTGAATATCAGCAAGGCAACCCAAGTATAGTGGGCTATAGTACTATTAAAATTATTTGCTCCTTTCCTATGAGATTATACTTTTGTGTACCATTGACATTAGGCTGAGCTTTGTGATTTCCTTTGATCAATAAAATGTGAGCAGAAGTCATTTATACCAAGCAGAATTGTTAAGAGACATCATATGGTTCCATCACTGCACAAAAATGACATGTCCCAAATAGGTCTTCTCCTTCAGCCTGGGTCCAAGAAAGAATCAGGCATATGGAGGAGAAGTGAAACAAACCCTCAGCTGGGAGGTAATGTGATTGACAAATTAACTTTTGTTATAAGCCACTGAGACAGTGGGATTGTTTGTTGCCACAGCATTACCTAGTGAAAGCGGACTGATACAGGAGGCTGGTCAACAAGTGGGTGGGGCATAGACTTGGGACCCAAGGTCAGGAACTACAAAAAAGTTCCAACAGAGGAGGGATTTTCAAGGTTACTGGGATTATTAAATGCAGTGATGAAAATCAAGAAATATGTTAATTGAGAGGCTATATGGTTTGGGGACCAGTTAATTCAAGTGAAAAGGGTTTTATAAATAGTAAAGAGATATATAATGATAAGACGTTATTATTAAAATACCATTACATTAATTGTAACAAAGGAACTCAGTGTTAGCTACAGAAATAGCAATGTCTGTGAACCAGGAAGACAAATATCAAATCAAGAAGGAGAAGAAGAAAGCAGTTGTTAAAAAAAATGATGTTATCCAGATGAAAGACTTTGGGGAGAATTCTTCTTCTCTTGGATAAATAGTTTTGTTGATGCAAGTCTGTGTGCTGAGCTTTGAAAAGGTGGGATAGCTTGATCTCAGAATGGCCCAAAGCTGACTCTGGCTGCTTTATCACAGAAAGGATTTTACTCTTAATAAATAGCCCTGTCATTCAGAGTCTTTCTTATTCATGGGGGCGTGGGGGTGAGAGACAGACATAGACAGGCCATCTAGCATTCAAGCACTATCTCTCTGATTGATTGCAAACTGCTTACTGAAACAGTGGTGGGAAAAGCTTAAAGGGCAGGGGACCGGGCTTTCTCTTTCTGATAATAACACTGAATGATAAAATGTGTTCTGCCAAGTGTCTTGGTATTATTTCCCTTTCAAAAAAGAAAGAAAGAAAAAAGTTTCACAGCTTTCATCACCACTTTATCACATTTCTTCATGTAATTGAAGCTGTGGGGTTGGACTACATTAATCTCTACTCTGTAAGGCAAGACCGAGTCCTCATCAACATCTGAGGGGCAGAAAGTCACAGGCATCTCAAAATGGGTGTTGGGAGAAATGTCTTAATGAATAGTGTCCTTATAGAAGATCCGTGATGGTAGGAGGGAGTCAGCACTTATCTAGAAAGTAAATCTCACCCCATTACTCTTCTGCTTACATTCCTTCAGGGGCACCCAGGTCTCAGGATAAAAGCAAGGGTGCCACACCCTTGCTCTTCCACACCCACACTTTGTGGGAGCCACACCGATCTACCTGCAGCTTCTGCCCTTTCCACCTTCCTTCTCATGGCAAAACCTTGCCTGTCTTCTTAAGTGTAGTCCAAGATTTCTGTCCCTGCTGTGTGACTTCACACTTAGTACCCTGATTGTCTTTCTCCTGCACTGGCATTTAGTGGCACCAGGACAGGGGCTGTCACACAGTATTCAGCATTGTCTCCTCAGTGCCTGGAACTATGTCTGGGGCATGGTGAATGCTCAATAACTGTTGAATGAATGATTGTACATTTGTTCTACAATCCCCTTTCCTCCATTTTTTTTTCTTTTAATTTCTATTTTGGAGAAGGCTCTGGCCCCAGAGACATGTCCTGTATGTCTTATTGAGGCTTGTCACTGCTTCCAGATGCCTTCATGGCTCCAGGAAAGGAAGGCAGACCTCTGCACAGAGAGAGAGCTGGAGAGAGAGCCAAAAAACCTTCACAGAGGTCCTGGGCCCCCGAGCTCCTAAGGAGGATTATGTCAGACACATAAGGTAAGGTAAACATGTGCAAACGACAAAGCATTACATACATTCTTAAAAATAACAATTTTACCATTTATGGAGCACATACCATATTTTGCTGAGTATATTGTACACTTTTTTTGCCCAAATTTGTGAGGGAAAAATAAGGATGCACATTATGCATGAGTAGTACTAATTCTGTATCTATAGAAATGTTTTTAATTCTTTTACTTATGTTTATGAGTTAAAAGTGTAACTCTAGAAATTAATAACAACATCCATATGCAAAATAATACCCTGGAATATAAAAATAGGTTTTGTTGAACTAATGACAAACTTGCAATGTTGAAGAGTTCTTGGCCTTCTATGATGCATAAATATCATAAATTTGTTACCAGTACGTAAAATTTCTTGTACCTTGTATCTGTACTTGTGTTTTGTAATTATTTGTTATATAAAATTTCTTGTACCATAATATGTTAAAAAATAAATGGTAAAATTCCTTTATAATACAAAAAACAAGTACCTAAATGTAACCAAATAAAAACTTGAATTAAAAAATTAAAACGAAAGATTTTTTTTCTTAAAAGTTTGGGCCAAAAACGTGGGTGCGGGCCAGCCAAGTGACTCAGTTGGTTAAGAGCTTGCTCGAGAGTGTGAACTCTGAGCAACAGGGTCGCTGGTTCGATATCTGGCCTGAGCTGAGCTGCCAACAGCTGCCAACAAGTGGTAGGATGGCTCAGCTAAAAAAACAAAAAACAAAAAAAACCTAAAATGTGGGTGCACATTATACATGGGAATGCATTATACATGGCAAAACATGGTACTTTGTGATGCTGTTGGGTGTTCACGTACAATATCTCTAAATCTGGCGACAGACTTGCAATGACATATCCACCCCCCCGTCTTTCCAGGATTCCAGTGGAAACATCCAGTAAAACAAGTTGCTGCTCAGAGAGGATCAGTGCTATTTCCAAAGCCACACAGCTCTCCAGTACCAGAGCTGGAATTCCAACCCATTGTGGTCTGACATAAAAGTCTAAGCTCTTTTTACCACTCAGGGACGTATGGAATTGCTTTGTGTCTCCTATTCATCATCAATAAAATATGTGTGCTTGACTCTATTCATGTCTGTGCTTTCTTCCAAATGGGAAATTTATATTTCTTGCGCTGTCTTCCCTGACAGCAGCAAAGCAGTGATGAAGGCGATGGTCTCTAGAGGGAGAGCGTCTGGGTTCCAGTCTCAGCTTTGCTACTGACCTCATGTGTGGCCTGGGGCAGCCTCTTAACTGCCCTTTGTCTCCCTTTCCTCACCTGGAGCAAGGGGCTGATCATAATACTCACTTCCAGGGGCTTCCATGGGCGGGCCTGACCCCCTGTAGCCCTGGTCCTGGCACTCAGTGAAGCTCAGTACGGGACAGCGTTTTGCAGTTCTCAGGGACAGTATTGAGCATCCTCCTGGGCCTTCCTTGATTTACCTCAGCAGACTATTGTTATTTATTTATTGAACACACGTTTCTTCCAAACCTCCCAGGCCATTGCTACGGTGCATTCATTGGTGATACAGAGAAGCACCAGACACAACCCACATAGGAATGCCATGCCCAACATTTGAGTAGCTCTTCACGGTTTACAAACATGGGTAGCATTGACAGTGCTACCTGGAGTCAAGGTGCTGCATGCTGCTTTCGACCTATAAGTGGGCTTGAAATGGTTCAATATCAAAACCTGCGTTGGGGATATTGAGAAAGTATGTAGCGCGAGGCAAGCCAAACGGGTTGCTTGCCTTCTTGAGGGACTAGCTGCTGAGGAAGTTGCCCTCTGCCTCCAGGGGCTCCGTGATGTGCAACCCCGTGGAGCGTCACAGCAGAACAAGGGGCCAGGGCAAAGAGAACCAACGGAGAAAGGAAGCAGGCAGGAAGGCACAGTGTGGCTGCCCTGGCATTTGACAGAAGGCACACCGGGGCCAGGCCACCTGCTGCTGTTCCCACAGGCACCCCAGTGCCATAGGGCAGAGGGGCGCAGACTCTGGAATGTGCGCACGCTGCAGTATGAGCACGTGTCCGGAATCACATGTACTGGGAGACTGTTTTGTGTATCATCACATCACAACATGACCCACCTTTTCAGCTTTAAATAACTGATTTCTCTATCATCTGAAGGACTTTTCCACGTAGGAACATATTTTTAATCACTTTCCAAGAGCTACTAGAAAAGACAGAGAAGAGTACAACCGGAAGTGTGTTGTCAATAAGTAACAAATAAATTGCAACCAGGCCATGATCTTAAAGAGATAGATTTGGCTTTCAAATCTTCTTCACAGATGCCTATGCTCCTCCTCCTGGGACCATTTGCAGCCTGTGGTTCAATTTCAGAGGGAACCTTTACCAACAATAACCAACAATATTAGCTAGCTGTCATTTCTTAATGGCCGTGTGTCCTTCCTAATCTCTTATCTCACTCTACACAACAGTAAATTTTCCATTCTGTTACATGAAGAAATGGAGGCTCATAGAACTGAAATAACGACATCCAGGCCCCAAACTTTTAAGGACACATTTTGGAGTTAGGCAGATCTCTTGAGTGCAGCTGTGTTGCATGCTAGCAAAGTCATTTAAGCTTTCTGTGCCTCAGTTTCCTCCGCTGTAAAATGGGGATAACAGTGCTCGCCTAACGGAGCTATTGTGAAGATTCTAAGAGATGGTACGTGTTAGTGGCTTGGCACACAGTGCCTAGTAGGGCCCTGTACGTGGAAGCAAGCGAAGCCATGCAAGCCTTACTGCATTGCCTCAGGGCTCCTTTTGTAAGCAGATACTGCTGCTCTGCTCTTGGGTGTGTGTCTTTTTTGATCACGCCCCTGCTGAGGTGATTGTTCTGTCGAAAGGCAAGAGCTTCCCTTCTTTTTTCCGTGCACCTGGATGAGCTGATTTGCCAGCTGCCTGCAGTTTGGGGCGTCTCCCCTTTTGTAGCCAATTACTTCCCTAATTGTTCACTTCTCCAGTGCTGTGGGCCAGGAATTTTTGGTTGTGGAAACTCCTCCTGTCTGGTTATCCGTTCAGCTGAAGAGGTGCTTTTATTTTCAGTTGTTTGGAAATTCTCAGTACTGGCTACTTACCAGCATTAACGGAAAGGGTGAGTGACTAATATATGTCTGTGTTTGACAGCTCCCACTCAGCTGGGCCCAGATTTCTTATTTTGAAAATCCTTTGCTCATTGATTTGGATGCACAGCCTGATCGAGAACCCCCGGGTGAGGAATCTCGTCGAAGGAGAGTTAAGTGTGTCTACCAGACATCCTCTTTAGTGTGACTATCAGATAGCTTTTTATTCTCCCATGTCGTTGCTGGAAAAAGTGGTTTGAACAGTGATTGAACCCTATGCCAGTCATGAGGTGATGAACTTTCACCTGTGTTAGCTCTCTGACTCATCTCTACCACCTGTAAGGTAGGCAAGGCTGTCTGCATTTGACAGGTGCAGAGGCCCAGAGAGAGACTGGAATTTACACAGCTATTCAGCAGAATAGGATTTTTCCACAGGTTTCTCTAATTTCAAGTCCAGGGCTCGCTCTTTTACAGTTCAGGGAGGTGAATGAGGAGAATCCATGCATTTCACTGAGGTCATGAACTAGGTTAAATTATGATGAAAGTGAGGATAATTTGATAAGTGCAGACAAACGCCAGGTAAGTCTGGGCAGGCTTTCTGGAAGAGGGGACTTCTGGAACGAGCTTTGAAAGGAAGACACCATCTCAATTGGAGGAGAGGACGTGAGTGTATGCTGTACGGGAGGGGAGGGGACAGAGCATGAAAAAAGCCCTCAGCCCCCATGACTCCTGCTTCTGAGAAGGGGGACGAAAGAATGCAGAGAACTCGGTTAGAAGGTATCAGGGAGCTAGTTTGCCCTTGGAAATCACTTAAAAACCCCTCTTGAAACAGGAAGCCCTTAAAAGGTATTCAAGTAACTGCTCAGCATTCTCTAGTTGACATGCTTATGGAAATGACATCTCCCACAGCCATTTGAGCACAAAAATGCTTAATTGAAAAGAATTATTGAATTGACCTCTGTTGGTATGCAGAGGAATTTCTTCCTTTGCATTTCTTAAAGTACTAGTTGCACGGCAGGATGTAATTAAAAGCTAATATTAGACTCTTTAAAGAATCAGCTCAATCATAAGAAAAAATCTAACCTGTGATTTGCATGTGTATATATTGCAGTCTTCAGTGAAATGGGTGGGGGGGACATAAGTTAGGGGATTTTCTAAAGCAAAGTGGTACAATATAATTTCCAAGATGTCCACATTGAAGTATCTCAGTGTATTCATTCAGCAAACATTTCTGACTACCGGCTCTGTGTTCCAAGTGCTGTGTGTTAGAGGTCATCCAGAGGACATGACTGCTGGTTTACCCAGCAGCTGAACACAGGCAATTGGAGGTTCCGCCCCCCTCCCCCTGATTTTGAAGTTTCACCCACCATGCGCAAAGCTGGATCCTTTTTAAGGGCACAATCTTAAGAGAGTAATGTGTTATTGGGAGCACCTGGAGTGGACACGTGACTGAACCCAGTTAAGGCCTCTATATAAACCCTTAAGATGCTGGCTGGCGGTACGGAGATCTGTTCGTCTTGCAGCCGCCGAGGGCAAGCCTCTTATGTAAGTTCCCTGCTTATTAAACCTGCCACCTACTGATCTGGAGTGGCCTGCCTTTCTCTTCAGTCTCTCCTTGCCCTCCGTGCCCTGGAGCCAGTTTATGAGCTAACAGTGGGTGAGCCATTTGTTCCAGGAGACCAGAGAAATGGGTCTTGGGAAAGAGGTATTCTTGGGGGGAAATCCCGGGATGGCCATTTACCTCTATGTGGAGAGGAATGGCCCGTATGTTATAGACCTGTGGACCAGTGCCTGAGAGTGGTGATGCCCTGCAAATGCCAGCGGGTGTACTGTGCATAGAGCACTGCGGCAAAGAATGGAAACCATGGCTGCCATACTGGGCTGGCCTCTTCTGTGGGCAGTTGGGCTGGCCACCAATGCCCAACTAGAGGTGAAAGCTTGAGTTAGAAAGTTGGAAGAAGAGCTGAGGTTAGAGAAGGACATGTGGGTGTCCATTACTCTGCTGGCTTCAGGCCTGGCTGGCGAGGTGGGAGAGCAGGGTAGTAAATTGGAGACCTGAGAGCGAGCTGTTTTGCAAAGCTAGGAGGGCGAAACCTGCTGCAGATTAAGGTCTGAGTGCCCGTGATAAAGCCTGATTGGGACAGTAAGAGATGGAATCCCTGGGAAAGTGAGGAGAAAAAGAAGGCTGTAAGCGTTAGGGGATTAGGGAAACTAGCACCTTGTATGGATATCCTTGAGAGAGTAAGGTGTTGTTGAGGTCATCTGGACGGTGTACGTGACTGAACCCAGTTAAGGCGTCTATGAACTTTTGACATTCTTGCAGGCAGTTGTGGAGATCTACTAGTCTTGCGGTTGCCAAGGAAAAGCCTTGTATGTAGGTTCCCTTGCATGTTAAAACTGCCACCTACCAATCTGGTGTAATTTGCCTCTTTCTTCAGTCTCTCCTTGCCCTCCATGTAGGACAGCCAATTTACAAGCCAACTCTATGTAACAGAAGAAAGAAACAGTCCTTCCCTACTTTACTTGGAATATGAGAAGGCAAAAATGTAAACAGACTTACAAAGGAGTGTGTTTGTTTTGCCGCGGTAGAGCTGTGTTTAGAGTCTAAGGGTACATAGAGAAGAGGGTTTTGTCGAGTAGGAGCCTTTTGAAGGACCGATATAATTGAGCTCAATGGAACAACGTGGCTGTGTGGAGCACAGGGGCCCAGCACCAACGCGGGTGGTGAAGTCTGCGTCAACAACAACCATAATTGCAGTAGCAATTGCAACAACAACAAAACACGGCTCAGTGTGAAGGCAGCTTTGGACTTTGAGTGTGGTAAGGGGGCATGGGGAGATAAAACTGGAGATGGGAGACAGAAGTCTTGCTGTAAAGGGCTTAGTTTGCCAGGTTTACAAGCTTGAACGTCACCCTCAAAAGTAATGGGAGTTTAGTGAAGATCCAGGGATGGACACCATTAGCCTTGTTTTTATTGTTGTCATTTGTTTGTTTTTAAGCAAAAAAGTAATTTACTGGCTTCTGTAGTTGATACAAATATCAGGGTAACTAAGGAATCAGATTAGGATGAGGACCAAGGATGTGACATTGCCAGGGCTCTCCATTGTTTATCTGCTTATCTCCTTTTTTTTGAATGTTGACCTCTATGACCTCTAGCTTCGCCTATTGCATACAGCCTTTCCCACAGGGCAGGAGACATGAGAAGGAATTTAATTTTTCAGTACCTATGTCACAGTTCTAGGGAAGGACTCTGGGTAGCCTTGGTTGGATCAGTCATGCTTGCAAGTGATACGGGACACACAAAGTTCGCTCCAGACGATGACTAGGAGAGCAGCAGGACCAAAGGCAGGGAGGAGAGAAGCTCCGAATCCTGACTTGATAAAGGGACAAAGGAAATGGTGAGGAAACATGGGGTCAAAAATATGAAGGAGGCAGAATTCAGAGAACGGGGGTGGGGGTGGGGGGGTGGAGGGATTGCATGAAGGAAAAGGGAGCGAGAATAAGGAGTGGAGTGTATGATGTGGCCTCAGCTTCCCACTTGATCCACTGGGTGGATGGTGGTGCTACTTACTGGGGTACAGAAAAGCAGTTTTTCACGGGAAAGAGGAAATTCAGTCTTCCTATGTATTTTACTTCCCATGATTACTTAAACCTTTACTCTAATTCTTTTCAAAGGTAATAATTGTCACCTTTGATTTAAAAACTCATTTAATAAAAACTAAACTTCATTTATATTATCTGAAATGGGTGATATCTTATGTAGGTCTTCACTAACAGATTAATAGCTGTAGTAGCCTTTGAATAATTAGGTTGGGAAAGGCCATTAAAAGAATTCAAAGGAAGAAAGGGTGTGTAATCCCAGTAAGAGGTTCAGGAAAGGGTGGAGGCAATTAATGTCAACAAGGTCAAAAACAGTTTGCATTAAAACTAAACAGGCAGCTCTCTTGACAGGTGTGTGTGTGTGTGTGTGTGTGTGTGTGTGAGAATTTTGTGTTTGTAAGCATACTAAAGGTAATACAACTACATTTTTGTTTATAAATGAATATAGTTGAGACCTTTTACTCATTCAAACTGCCCCCTCCAGCGGTTTGTCAGTAGGATCCATTGGACTTTCTTAAAAACGTTGAGCAACAGCATTTGTCACCCGTGTTATCTTTGCACACATCTTTCCTCTGACACAAGTGCCCTGTCCCATATTCCCTGTTGGGCAAATTCGAACTTATCCTTGAAGATTTCCTCTGGACAAAATGAATCACTGTCTTCCTATGCTCTTCTGTTTGGCTCGTACCTCCACCTGTAGCGTAGCCTAGTGGTTAAGAGCATGGCATTTGGCTGGACCTGTGCTCAAGTCCACTTCTATGAATTATTAGGCAAGTCACTTAAACTCTCTGAGCCTCAGTTTTCTTACTGTGCAATGAGATTAATAATAGTGCCTTATAAGGTTATTGTGAAGACTAATATAATGCACATGAAGTACGTATCACAGTGTCTGGCACATAATACATGCTCAATAAATGATGAATGAGTAATTGAATGAAATAATAAACATGCATAAAATAATGGCCCACGATAAAAGTCGCCTATACCTTTTGGTCTGTTTGGTTACTGGGTGGTGATTATTTGACAGTGGAAACCCTGACAGATTAATGTCTTCACATTACTGAGTAGTTTGAAGTACCAAGGGAGATATTGTTCCCAGTACTAGATTTTTCTTAGTATGATGATAGTTTCACTTTACAAATGAGGAAAGACCAAGAGTACTTTATGGATTGGGCTGATTCGAATTCAGGGCTCCCATCCCCCGACCTTGAGGGTGTGCTTAAGGCTTGGCAGAGCTCATCCTAGTATCCCACACCCCTGGCCACAGTGGCTGTTACAGGGATGGGCAAAGAATCTACGCTGGACCAATCCAAGTACTTTTATGGAATCATATGCAGAGTCTGCGCAAGAGAGGCTCTCTCTCTATGCCAGTAGATTATCTACCTTTGGACATGCTCTCCTGTCACTGCTGCGTGGAGGGAAGCCATCTGCT